ATTAATTAATTAATTAATTAATTAATTAATTAATTAATCAAATGGACAGCTCGGTCTTCCTCATCGAAACATGTAACCATCACACACTTGACAACCTTGTCAATATAACCAACAAGGAGCACCCTTCTGAGCTTCATGCATCTCAACGTCCATGACGAAATGATGCAACTCATCTTCACTCTTGGAGTGAGGTCGATTATATCCGAATGAATGAGCTCGTAAGATAGCCAAAACTGATGCGATCCAACTGTTCCAGATAATGATGATCTAGCGGGAGACTGCAGGGACACATTTTTCAGTGCAAATCACTGGTGCACACCCGAAAAATCAGTATCTAATTGTCGACTTTAAGATTTGCTGACACTGACCCACACAAGCTATAGTTTTGAGACAGTCATTGTCAAAAACCTGAAAACGTCTTGGTTTCGTTTCTCAAACGGGTCAGATCCAAAAGCCACACAACAGAGCACCCCTTACTGCAGCCTGAGTCGCACGTTTCTTGATATTTACGGAGACGCCGCCTTGACGCCTTAGGTGTTCCAAATTGGTGAACGCGACCCGAGGATTGCAGGTTCGTGCATTGATCTCATCCGGCACACTAAAATCAAAACTAATACAACTTCGAATGTATATAAAACGCTGCACCACACTACTTCTCCAACCGGATCAGAAAAAGATCTGCGATGTTACACAAGTTCTGCTCTACCTCTGAGGATTTCCTGGGCCAAACAAAAATACCCCCCTCCTCACAGAATTGCAAGTACAAACCGATTCATCTCAAGAATAACGTCCACTACGGGGCTGTCCAGAAACCGAAGTATTTCAGTGCAATGATGGCGTGCGATTATGTGGGATGATGGCACAGTCGCGACTATGCGCAGCCTACTTTTGACTGCACCCCATCGCCCACTTGCTCTATTACATGCAACCACAAACAAACTCACGAATTATTCTGACCAACTTTATGATCATGCCTGAAGGTACACCACTCACCTGTAGGAATAAACAACACTACGATAGCGTGACACTTTGTGAGTACAAAGTGGACACCAAAAGACAACAGCATTATTATCATCATTGATAGCGGAGCAAAAGATGCTAACAGAGACTCAGCAAATACATGTATTGTGACGCCTCACACGCAACTGGTTTTGCAAAGCTACATGCTTTTCTATAGGCCGTAACAGCTACATTTTGAGATCAAATCACAGTACAAACACGCAGCAACACCAGATAAATCCAATTTCATGTCTCTGCACGTTCCAAACTAACTTAGTTGCGCACAATCTAGCCAACACACATCACTCATAATCAGGTATGCTAAACCCGGTTAGCATCAAAGGCATACCTATTATCTGCACGTAAATATCGATTACTGATTTTGAATTCGGGCAGCGCTGCCTCAGTGAAGTAGCTAGGAATTGTGGGAACTTATGACCAACTATTATTTCGGGCGGCGCTCTATCTGACATCAAAGTGCTTTCTGGTAAACCTTTCGGACACTTTTTCTTATTTCGACTCACCTATGTAAACACTGTTTTCCTATTTCCCCGTTTGAATGGCAGCGATGAATCACTGCGGACTCTCGATGGACCCAAGAATATCCTAACTACATGAACGGCTCGTCCAATATGTTCACGTACGGAGCCGTCCACGGACCTAATTACGGCGTCGCGATGACGGTACCGCGACCACCATACGCAGTCTCATGACTTATCCGTACTACACTAAAAACCCTCGTGTTTCCCAGACGAGCGTTACGCAGAAGACCGTTTCAGTTCAGAAGCAGTGCTCATTTTGTTGTACCGTCTGCCTCTTCTGCTCACAAAACCAACACCTTCTCCAACGGAATATCAGTGTACTGGTGAAGATCAAGTCTTACCTCAAGCCAGATATAACGAATGCTGATCATAATAAAAACCAAAGAACTTGCAAACTGTGACGAATTCTTTGGCTTCAGCTGGACGCTTGCCGCAACCGTAGAAGAATTTTTCATATCCAAGTTGCGGATGGCCGCTGCAATTTGAGTTTGCGCGGATGTAATCGGTCTGATTATTCCTACGTCGGTTTGAAGTTAACACCAAATCTAATTCTTAAGAATACATGCGAAGAACCCAGATTTTCCACAAAACTCTACATGGTTTTCATAGGGAGGATGGGCGGGGCCATCGGTAGCCATTGAAATATGGATTCCGTGCCCATAGCGGACTCCGAATTCGTTTAAACAACTTCTGATAAACCTGCAGCCGCTTGTGTAGATCTCATACGCCCGAATAATTAACATTAAATGCTAAAGCTTTATGTTAAAGTTTGCCTCTTTCTAGCCACAGCTTCAGAGAAACTTAGGGTGTGCGTTCAGGGACGCGGGAGCCCATTAGTCGTACAATGCTCTTACGTGCAAAATCTTTGCGGGTAAGAGAAAAACTTTTCACGCCAAAATGTCGCGTTTCATTGCATATACGCTCAAGCCAAAAACCATTCTGATCCACATTCATATTTTTGCAACTTGCCAAATTTCATTGTCCATTCGGGCAATTCTACCTCTAGAGGAAAATTCTGATAGAATAATTCTCCAGCATTGCCTAGACACCGGGATACCTAAATGGAGCTCAGAAGTTGAACTGTTACTCTCAGCTCGATTGCGCGATTACTTTGGTCCATCAGGGACACGTCATAGCCTTCGAAAATTCCATTCCACTGTGCGAATACTGAGCGGTGGGACTCGGCCTTGGGCATAGATATCATTTGGAAGCGCGCGCTTCCTGGCTTGTATACAGCTGATCAATCCCAATGCCAGCTTGCGCATGAATCGCGTGCCTTGATGGCCCTTACAAGCAGTTGGCAAAGACCAAAGTCACGGAAGAAATTCACGCAATATAAATGCATTGTTCAGGTTTTACTTTACAGGCGACGATGCGGTTCATCCAGGTTCTGGACACTGATTGGCTGTCGATTCACTGGCATATGAAGCCTCTGGACCAATCATCGATTGGATTAGGTTTGTGGGGTAGTCCAGTATCGTGTACCTGTGTACCAAATGCCCCGCGATATTATTACACTGCAACTTGGACAATGCGGAAATCAGAGTGAGTTTTCATTCACTCATATTTTCATCGCTTCCGAATGTTTGATTTTCAGTCACATTTTTCCTAGTCACGTGCTGACAGAACAATGAATTGTCAGTTCCATGTGATTGCTTTTGTTCTTGTGCTCACGTAGATTTTCCGGACTTGCATCTTAAATCCTTATTTCCCATACACAACACACCTCACTGCGNCCGATTCATCTCAGGAATAACGTCCACTACGGGGCTGTCCAGAAACCGAAGTATTTCAGTGCAATGATGGCGTGCGATTATGTGGGATGATGGCACAGTCGCGACTATGCGCAGCCTACTTTTGACTGCACCCCATCGCCCACTTGCTCTATTACATGCAACCACAAACAAACTCACGAATTATTCTGACCAACTTTATGATCATGCCTGAAGGTACACCACTCACCTGTAGGAATAAACAACACTACGATAGCGTGACACTTTGTGAGTACAAAGTGGACACCAAAAGACAACAGCATTATTATCATCATTGATAGCGGAGCAAAAGATGCTAACAGAGACTCAGCAAATACATGTATTGTGACGCCTCACACGCAACTGGTTTTGCAAAGCTACATGCTTTTCTATAGGCCGTAACAGCTACATTTTGAGGTCAAATCACGGTACAAACACGCAGCAACACCAGATAAATCCAATTTCATGTCTCTGCACGTTCCAAACTAACTTAGTTGCGCACAATCTAGCCAACACACATCACTCATAATCAGGTATGCTAAACCCGGTTAGCATCAAAGGCATACCTATTATCTGCACGTAAATATCGATTACTGATTTTGAATTCGGGCAGCGCTGCCTCAGTGAAGTAGCTAGGAATTGTGGGAACTTATGACCAACTATTATTTCGGGCGGCGCTCTATCTGACATCAAAGTGCTTTCTGGTAAACCTTTCGGACACTTTTTCTTATTTCGACTCACCTATGTAAACACTGTTTTCCTATTTCCCCGTTTGAATGGCAGCGATGAATCACTGCGGACTCTCGATGGACCCAAGAATATCCTAACTACATGAACGGCTCGTCCAATATGTTCACGTACGGAGCCGTCCACGGACCTAATTACGGCGTCGCGATGACGGTACCGCGACCACCATACGCAGCCTCATGACTTATCCGTACTACACTAAAAACCCTCGTGTTTCCCAGACGAGCGGTACGCAGAAGACCGTTTCAGTTCATTTAATTTGTGCAAAGACTCAGAAGCAGTGCTCATTTTGTTGTACCGTCTGCCTCTTCTGCTCACAAAACCAACACCTTCTCCAACGGAATATCAGTGTACTGGTGAAGATCAAGTCTTACCTCAAGCCAGATATAACGAATGCTGATCATAATAAAAACCAAAGAACTTGCAAACTGTGACGAATTCTTTGGCTTCAGCTGGACGCTTGCCGCAACCGTAGAAGAATTTTTCATATCCAAGTTGCGGATGGCCGCTGCAATTTGAGTTTGCGCGGATGTAATCGGTCTGATTATTCCTACGTCGGTTTGAAGTTAACACCAAATCTAATTCTTAAGAATACATGCGAAGAACCCAGATTTTCCACCAAACTCTACATGGTTTTCATAGGGAGGATGGGCGGGGCCATCGGTAGCCATTGAAATATGGATTCCGTGCCCATAGCGGACTCCGAATTCGTTTAAACAACTTCTGATAAACCTGCAGCCGCTTGTGTAGATCTCATACGCCCGAATAATTAACATTAAATGCTAAAGCTTTATGTTAAAGTTTGCCTCTTTCTAGCCACAGCTTCAGAGAAACTTAGGGTGTGCGTTCAGGGACGCGGGAGCCCATTAGTCGTACAATGCTCTTACGTGCAAAATCTTTGCGGGTAAGAGAAAAACTTTTCACGCCAAAATGTCGCGTTTCATTGCATATACGCTCAAGCCAAAAACCATTCTGATCCACATTCATATTTTTGCAACTTGCCAAATTTCATTGTCCATTCGGGCAATTCTACCTCTAGAGGAAAATTCTGATAGAATAATTCTCCAGCATTGCCTAGACACCGGGATACCTAAATGGAGCTCAGAAGTTGAACTGTTACTCTCAGCTCGATTGCGCGATTACTTTGGTCCATCAGGGACACGTCATAGCCTTCGAAAATTCCATTCCACTGTGCGAATACTGAGCGGTGGGACTCGGCCTTGGGCATAGATATCATTTGGAAGCGCGCGCTTCCTGGCTTGTATACAGCTGATCAATCCCAATGCCAGCTTGCGCATGAATCGCGTGCCTTGATGGCCCTTACAAGCAGTTGGCAAAGACCAAAGTCACGGAAGAAATTCACGCAATATAAGTGCATTGTTCAGGTTTTACTTTACAGGCGACGATGCGGTTCATCCAGGTTCTGGACACTGATTGGCTGTCGATTCACTGGCATATGAAGCCTCTGGACCAATCATCGATTGGATTAGGTTTGTGGGGTAGTCCAGTATCGTGTACCTGTGTACCAAATGCCCCGCGACATTATTACACTGCAACTTGGACAATGCGGAAATCAGAGTGAGTTTTCATTCACTCATATATTTTCACCGCTTCCGAGTGTTTGGTTTTTAGTCACATTTTTCCTAGTCACGTGCTGCCAGAATAATGAATTGTCGGTTCCATGTGATTACTGCTTTTGCTCGTGTGCCCACGTAGATTTTCCGGACTTGCATCCTAAATCCTTATTTCCTATACACAGCACACCTCACTGAGAAACAAGCCCAGTGCAAGAGCAAGTGCGCTGCTTGGTTCCGGGTACGGACATTAAAAACGGCAAGACGTACTGGGCGGCGGGGCTAGAAGACTGATTTCGGGATGTCTGAGGACGTCGGCACCTGATGGCGCGTAGATTTTGCCTACAAAAACGATACAGGACGAACGGAGTCATCAATCCCAAATATTGTGGCTACAATGAGAGTTGTTAATGGAGTGAAAGCAGGGGGAAGAAAAAGTATGTAGATGGGCAAGAAGGCAGGCGTCCAGATTAGCCTGTTTTCCCTTACCCGGCCTGCTGTATACAGCAAGTAAGGCGACTCGGCTGATGGAACCACGCAATGGCTGATGTGGCGTGAGTTGATCTGTATATGCGCAACCCATAGTTGTACATGGGCTGATATACTGCCAGGGCGCCCACACCTAGACAGGAGGACGATTAGAATCCTCGACCAAATCCTTTGGCTCAAAATCCCGACCGCAAAGCAGCGGTGTTTAGCGGGAACTGCAGGTACAATGCCATTCTCACGGTGCAATTCGCCACACTTTCCAACGCGAACCTGGAAGATCAGGAGATTGTCTGTCAGACCTCTAACCATTGACCAACCTGGTATGAGAGAATCAGCGAGCGTCGCGGGGACACCCCCTGAAGTATAGCTCAGTGGGTCGCCAAGGTATACAAACCGTCGCACCACAAGACAAGATGCCCAGTGATATGCCATTTTAACACCACAAGTGACGCACATTTGTAAACACGGCTCTGGCCTCTAAGAAACTTCCATCAGAGCTTGTAACCAGGGTATGCAAAATTTTCCAAAACCTCCAGCGGTTCTCCTTGAATTGTAAGGTGTTTGTTCAGAGACGACGTTCTGAAGCATGACTTTGCACTCTGAATGTACGAGTCCGATGCCGAAAGATGTTAGTTAATTTATCCAACAGGGCCTGTATTTTGCCTTCGTCTCCAAAGACGATGTCGTATGCTTTAACCAGTAGCAATGTGAAGACCGGTGTTTTGAAGCTGTTTCAGCGTTCGCATTTTTATTTTATCAATGATAAGATAGTAAGTTATCATCCAGCTGTAACACCCTTTCGGTACCTAGCAGCCATACCACCCGAAAGAAACACGAGTTCTGGGATACTGCCGGGTTGCTCAAGCCTTGACAGGAGAAGTCGAATTGCAGGGGTTGGTGTAAACCATGGTCCTTCCGATCAGAAAATCCGCGCTTTAACCACTGAACCATCTGGAGCTCGTCAATGGCGAAATTAAACAAGAACGAAGACAGTAGACATCCCTATCGGAATCACGTTTTATAAGAAGGCTATCAGAGAGCTCTCCATACGCTGACGCCCGAGCATCATGGAATATAGGGACCGGATTGCGCCCATAAACTTCTCGGACATACCCTGTTAGCAAGGCACCGACCGATCGACATAGTCGAACTCACCCTTGACGTAAAGGAACAGCAAGTTGACATCTCACCTGTTAGTTATGGCGTTGCTGTAACACCTGATGGAGTGTGGAGATACGGTTGAAATCCTGCTTAATGCCCACGAGTCAATGCTTCGTGTGCCCCGGAAGATGGAGGATCAGCGACGCCATAAGGTGGATTACAACGGGCTTCCAAGTAACACCTATGTGGTTACTACATTCTCTGCGGTTGGACACTATTATCAGCTTACCCGGGTTGTTTGTATCAGTCTCTTTCCTCTAGATGGGCGCAAATAGGCTACCAAGGCTACCAAAACCTGAAGCACAATAAAGATGGTATTATTCTACGCAGGTTGACACGTCGATGAGATTCGGATTCGCGAGAATCCAGCTAGGTCTCACCCTGGGCGAGGTTGCGTTGATCATATTTTCACTTCATGACAAATCTTTTCGAAGACCAGCTATGGCAGTTTTTATAGATCTGAAAGCTGCATCAAATGACGCACTGTGGCCAGTGTGTCTGCTGATTCTTTAATCACTGTTCCATGTCTAAATTGTCACCCAGGAAAATACCCCCTACATTCTGGCTTCACAGTGGGGAGAGATGGCTCAGTGGTTAGAATGCACATTTACTGACCGGAAGGTTCGTGGTTCGAACCCTGTCTATGCCTCTCGACTTCCCCAGTCTAGGCTTGGGCAACCTGGCAGTATCCCAGCCCTCGTGCTTCCTTTGGGTGACATGGCAGCTAGGCACCGAAAGGGTGTTACATCTGAACGATTTCTTTTGGCATCACAGTTTTAGCGAGCAGGAACAGTTCCTTTTCCCACTTTTTTGAAAGCCAAAACTTTACTTTCAACCAACTGGTTTGTACGAGGGTCTGAAGATCGAGCTAGCTTTATATGAGACTCTGGCCGTCGAGGGACGCTCAGTCATGTCAGTTCAACGTCATTCCCCCTGAACTGTCCGGTTATCACGGTGATTAGAAGGGACACCGTTCATTGTTAGACACTGCCTCAGTTTCTGACAGTCACCCCAGTTAAAGAGCGGATTTAAAATCAAGAAAGACGGCCACTGTTGGTCGTCGGAAAGAGTGGCGCGGTTCCAGCACTTATCGCAGATGGAGATATGACCTATACAAACCCGGCCTGACTCCCACGATGGTTGATTACCCTTCGTAGGATAATGCTAGAGAGCACATTGGAAGCTATAGCCGCTAGACTGGCGTTCCGACGGTTTTCGCACGGTGTTCTTACGCCCTTTTTCGAATATGCGAACCACCGTCGAGGGGCTCCTTTCTGTTGGAGTTTTTTCCTTGTTCCAGGAATTTTAAATCAGGAAATCGTTCAGCCGTAACACTTTTGGTCCCTAGCTGCCATGCCAACCGAAGGAAGCACGAGAGCTGGGATACTGCCAGGTTGCCCAAGCCTAGATTGGAGAAGCCGAGGTGCAGAGGCCGGGTTCGAACCACGGAACTTCCGGTCAGTAAATTCGCGCCCTAACGACTGGGCCATCTCGCCCCTCCAGACACTCTAGAGTAGGATCGTTAGGTTAGCCACAACGGCCTTGCAACGTTTGAAGAGTATAGGTTGTAAACCCTCAGATCTAGGTGCTTTGTTGCGCCGAGACAAGGGAATTGCGCCCTGGACTTCTGTCGGCAATGGGAGACATATCCATGTCCCACTCGGATTCAATTGATAATTCCAGAGGGTGAATTGATTGGATCCAGCTAAACTGTTCTTCAAAGTGTTCAGTCCATCGTCCAAGACGACGGTTTTGTGACTTGGATGTCGTTTCACCAACACTCACGCTGTTGCGCACTCGAATGATTGTGCCAGAAATAGAGAACGAGGATTGCCGAACGATTGGCTTTAATCTTCCAACAATTTCAGTACATCAGCTGAAACATTAGGAACCACAATTAGTTTAACGAATAGCGAGTAAAAAGTTAAACACAATGTCAGTATATAACATTCGAGTCCCAACATGTTGACCCATGTGCTACTCATCATTCACATTGTCTTCCTCCTTTAGTTGGTATGGAATTCTGGAGACAGCTTTGCACAGAGCACGGTATAAGTCCTGAAGGTCTGTTAGAAGACTATGCTACTGATGGTTCCGACAGGAAGGATGTGTTTTTCTATCAGGTCAGTAGAGCTTCATTATTTTTCGTAACGGTTCAACTGAAGTAATGTTTCTTCGCAGGCTCTTTTACTCACCCACATAAGACTCTAAAATTGGTGTTATCGGAGTGTGTTATCGGTTCGGTTGTTTTTGCTTGTCTGATTTCTTACATATTTGCCTTTTCATTCTCATAGGCTGATGTGTTATCAAAGTGATCGATATTGGTTCTTCATATTGAGTACACTGCTATCACAATACCACATGTGGCACTTACGCACATATTGTTGTCGCTATATTGCTCTGTGTACTGTCATTTTCAGCATTAATAATTACGTTTAAGTGAACCGTTATAGAAGTGTTTTCCAAAGTACGGAAAAATTCATTGGAGCATATCCTACTTGATTACAGGTGGCAAACAGGTAGATCCCACTTAGGCGACGATGTTGGGCTTGCGCCGATGTCGCTGTATACCAAGAGCCAGCTGTTCTCCAACTTTTTAGTACTTATTCAAAAACAATGCTGTATCACTGTGTTACTGATGTCCTTGCCCATATATTCTACACTACCGATTACTATTTGGGCCGTCTAATCACTTTGCATCAGCTGACTTTTTTCAGTGATGAAAAAGCATAGGAATATATAGTAAAGAAGCAAACTACTTGAAGTCCATTATTACTTGCAATAGTCATCCCAAAACAACATGGTATCCTGTGCAGCACATGTCATGTCATAACTTTATTGTTTACTGCATGCTTTTCTCAGAAAGGCGCAGATATTATACCAAATCAATACCACCCACGGGGAGAGATTTTCGGTGGTCTCATGTCTATGAAATATAGTGTGTGTGACAAAAAACACAATACAGAATACCTCAGAGATACAAGCATGGCGTTGCAATAACTGTGCAGCACATGTCATGTCATAACTTTAGTGTTTCCTGCATGCTTTTCCCAAAAAGACGCAGATATTATACCAAATCAATACTGCCCACGGGGAGAGATTTTCGGTGGCCTCATGTCTATGAAATATAGTATGTGCGACAAAAAACAATACAGAATACCTCAGAGATAAAAGCATGGCATTGCAATGGAAGACTCACTTGAAGGTCGACTTATGATGAACAGGTGGGTTAAATGTGGTCCATGCCTGTCGCGTTACTTAGAATTCCTTCTTAAGTTGGAAGAACCAAAGTGCGTTTCAGTTCATCAAAGGCGTACTTGAGCCAGGAGAGATTTTGCGTCAACTTGATTTGTAGATGCTTTAAGGTTATCAGCTATAACGCTTTGAAAAGAATTGAGTTGTTTGATAACAGCTACGGATAAAATGCTAAATGAGGTGTCCAGACACTCCGGCACGTTTGAAATAAGGGATCGAGAGGCCAATCTGTTAAGTAAACTAGTAAAGTTGTCGTGAATATGAAGCCGGAATAAGGACAGCTAGTTGTGATATCATCTGTGTATGTGAGCTGCACTACGGACAGTAGTAGGAGAAGGTCCTTAATGTTATACTCGATGGAAAGCAGCGAAACTTTGGTCATTGGAAGTCAGCTACATATCACCTCGAAAGCGACCCAGCAGAATAATTGTGTTGGCAACAAGTTAGTCGAGTATTGCTCCTATCTCCAAGCTACAGTCCGTGAATGGTAATATCACCTCATCACAATTACCATCATTTTGTGGTGCATGAACGGCTGTGGCCATATCGTCAAGCAGCACGCAAGCGAATTTGATGGATTCGTTTCAACAGAAAATGATCAAATATGTCACGGGGGTAGGAAGTACGAGTTATCGGATGGAGCAGCACGCAAGCGAATTTGATGGATTCGATCAAATATGTCACGCGGGCAGGAAGTACGAGTTATCGGATGAGACTTATTCGTATCTTGCTTAGGGAGTGGGATTACGTAGATAGGTCGCCAACTGTCAGGTAACTTCCCTGAATGGATCAAACGTGTTAGTCGGATAAAACCAATGGGTAGCGGTGGGACTGAACTGCTTTCGAATCTGCTTTCGAAGGCCCAACTGTGAGCGTTTGAGCTCATTACTGAACAGCTGCGGATGTTTCATTAGAAAATGTATTTACAAATGCTTCAGGTTAGACAATTCATCTATCGAAACGGAATCACTAAATTATCTAGGAATATGTCATAATCTCGTCACCATTTTGGGAAATTGGAACTTTAAGTCACAAAGTGCCGCTCCATGCAGCAGATAAGTTTGCTGTTCTTATATCATGGTATAAATTTACGACAGTGCGCAGTCGCCGCCATGAGTGATCATCTAGTGATTCCCCAAACCGACACTAACAACCATCGAGTACAGGAGGTGGCGAGCTTCGGACAGCCGGAATACACTTACACAAGTTGCGCCCATCAAAGCTTGATCCATTCCCATTCCGTGATGCTTCATGTAGTCATTGTTCACTTTATGGTTTTCGAGTTTATGGTAGAATTTCTCGGTGATTGTCAAATTGTTGAAGCACGTTCTAACTGCTGTGGTTCTCAGGGTAAAGCCTCACTACAGTGACTTGTGAAGGAGCTATTCCAATCGGGCCTTTTGGAGAATGGTGTGATTTGCTTCGTTCCGGTGAATGTGATCTAACATAATACAACCGTTATTCTTCTCAGTTTTAGTGGAGAGTATATTTAGTGATTTGGGACTAGGTGTAACCCCGGCTGTTGATGACAGGAATGTGAAAATCTTTCTGTACGAGCTATTGCAAGAAATTGACGGAACGGATCGAAGGCCATCGTTGCTCACCGTAGAGTGGTTTCGACGTACACAGGCTATATTCCTCTACATTAAAATTTGACTGATGAACTATTTGCTTACCTCCGTTCTCTTCCCCACCCATCTCTGTCATTATTTTTGACACAGGCAGATGATGCTCATTACATACCGCGTGCCGTGTTACTGGATTTGGAGCCACGCGTGCTAAACACGATACTGAGCTCACCATACGCCCGTTTGTACAACCGTGAGAATGTGTACCTTTCCAAAGATGGTGGAGGCGCCGGGAATATCTGGGCATCAGGCTTCTCTCAAGGAGAAAAGTTAGAGGAAGAAATATTCGACATCATTGAACGGGAAGCAGAAGGTAGCGACAGTTTAGAGGTAAGGAAAGCTCTGGCAAAATATAGGATAAATGTTTGGAGTTGCTACACGTCGTGGTGTCTTTGAATCCGCTATCATTTTGTGGGCTTATTGTGAAGCTTTTGAGTTAGCACTCCAATATTCGTATAAACCACCAACTTCACTGTAATATCCTTTCCAAAAACCTTAAAAGTGTGAAAAAAATTTGAGAGAATTTTCCCCATGAATTGGCTGTTGGTAAATGGTATTCATTATCTTAGTTGCTTTGGTGGCATGGTATAATCGCCTCCCATCAGGTTCCTCGATTAAAGTTCGGGTCTTCACAAAAATCGTAAAATGTTATCAATCAAATTGGGCGTGGAATAACAGCCGCGAAACATGTAATGTCTGACCCCAACTAAAATTACAATGTGCATCACAAGGAATTGTTGATAATCCGTAAAAGTGTTTCGGAAATTTATGTATGAATAGGCATTGCCAGTCTGCCAGATTGGAATTGTTTCTTTCCGTTGGCTGGGGCTTATTTGGCACAAGAGTTAATAGAGGTAAGAGGTCACAGCAATCTCAGAAAAGCCGACATCTTCGGAAATGTTCGAAGATTATTTCGATTTATGCGTGCGATCGGCCCCAGAAACCGCCGGTGAGCGAAACTATCAAGAATCAAACTGGATGCCTTGACCGCTGAGCCAAGCAGTTTGGGGAAGAATTCTTGTGGCCACCTGCTGCTAGTCTGGACGGTGAACCTGGAGTTCCCTACGGCCTCGTAGGTTTATGACCATATATGCTCTCTCATGCACCACCGAGCTCCTGTTTCGGACGACCTCCCACCCGGTTTGTTAAAGGACGATGATGAAGTCCTCAGTCGGCACTTGTCTGATGTATTTGCCTGCATATGATAAAAGGGAAGTGTCCCAAACAACGTAGAACAATCGGTGATAGTGCCCATCGAGTGCGGTAATCAAGAGTAATCAGCTTGATTCCATGCGTACCGAGATTCTTAGTGTTATTTGTCCTTCGTCGCCTTATGGTGGACCGTGAAGCATTGACTTGAGAGCAACATGCTGGATTCCTGCCTGGCGTGTTTTGCGCTGACCAAACATTCACACTCCTTCAGGCGCTACAACAACTCAAGATCTATAAACGCCCCACAATTTTAGTATTACCGGATTTCCAAGATGTATTTCACCAAGCTGACCCGCATGTTCTCCTTAACACGTTTGCTGAGCAACGGGTTTCCCTAAAGTCTGTCGATACACTAAGTTATTTGTATTCTCATACTTCTGGGGATGTGAGAGTATACTGGGAGCTCTCCAAAAGCCTCCGTACACAAATTGGTGTCCGAGAATGATGACTATTCAGTTCAGTGATCAATGGAATAAGGAGAGGAATGCTAAGTTTTTTCACAATCCCTTGTGTTCGGATAGCCGCTGATCAAAACCTTGTCGATCTGGAATATGCAGACGACGTTGTTCTCATGTTCGAAGAGGAGAAGGCGCAGGTGTCTTTGGATGAACTGACCGTCCTTTGGTATCCACTTTACACTGGACGTGTGGTCACTGAACACGTCACTTACAATCCGTGGACAAGTACTCGAAGTTGTACAGCATTTTAGATATCCTAGAAGTTGTATTAGTTCGGATTGTAGTGTGACAGCTGATTTCAATTCACGAGTTTCTAAGAATAGGGTTACGTCTGCTATTTTGAGACCCCCTATGTCAGAAGAGCTGCACATCCCTGAATTGCAGGGGACGTGTGTAACACGCTACAGTGCGGGCTGTTTCATCGTATAGCTGCGAGACGTGGCTCCTTCGAACAGTGAGAATTAGACGTCTGCAGGTCTTCGAAAACCGTTGTCTCAGAACCATAGGTCGTATAGGCTAGTGTCGGTAAATCCGCAAAGAGTGTTCGAGAGAGATCACCAACGGTCTGGGTGCTGTTGGTGCGGCTCATCTTCCAGGGCGACCCTCCCTGCTCATTGTCAATGGCGTTGTTGTTTTCAGATTCTATTAAGTGTCTGAATGGGTGTGTAGTGGTGTAGGCACGGTTGGGGTATTTTGGCACCAAGTTTTTTTCCATCCTTGTTTTATTCTTTTGTTCACATTAAGGCCTTCAAGTAAATTATGGCTCTATCGCAGCGAAGCATCCGTGTTGAACGCTGATGTGTTATCGAGAATGGTTACTCAGTTTACTTGAAGACATGGGCTGTTTTATTTGTGTGCTGGATTCCTCAACTGGCAAATCGAGATCTGCCTTGTTTACGCATCACAACGTGCTATGGACCACCAACTCATTGCTAACACCGAGTCAGCCTCGGTCATTCAACCCTCGGACCAAGAAATGGCACTCATTATGGAGGTACATGAACACAGATCACGTGGGGGGAGGGGGGAAGAAAGCCTGAAGACCACCACTGCACTTTTGTTTCTGACACACAGTTTGCTTACTCGGGTGGTGGCATCCTTGGAACTTAAGCGTTTTGGTGACTCTTGGGAAAGTTTCTTTCGGATGCGGAGCTCTATACATTAACGCTGCACGACTATCGTGCCTGATTCTATCAGCCGGTACATTGTCGTCAAAGGCGTCTAGGTTTGATCGTTGCCCTTCAGCTTTTTTGCCTCGGAGCAAAGCTACCATGCACTTCGTAGGATGCACAAACTACACTTTCCACATCTTGCTAGTGACCTGGACCAATCTATACTGCTCTGAATCATCTTGTTTCTTGCTTATTCTTCTGATGCCAACCTGGTATAATGATGGAAAATTCCAGAAATCTTTCTTGTCAAATCTCCCAAATGGAGCTGGTACATTGAAAAGTTCCTCTTATCTTCCTGAGTTTTGCTATGGTTCCATTTCAGGGCTTCGTGATGACGCACTCAATCGCTGGTGGAACTGGGTCTGGAATGGGATCGTATATTTTGGAACGTCTCAACTCGCGGTTTCCGAAGAAGCTAATACAAACCTACTCCGTGTTCCCGAACGCTGAAGACACAAGCGATGTTGTTGTTCAGCCTTATAACAGCTTGCTTACGCTCAAACGTTTGACACTAAACGCAGATTGTGTGGTAAGCCTATGCGGCTTGTCGTATTCTATTTTGGTGGAACCTTCTATTTTCACTTTTGACTTGCTTATACATGCCTTAGCGAACTGTTCAGTTGTAGCACCCTTCCGGTGCCTAACTGCCATGCACGAGGGCTGGGATATTGCCAGGTCGCCCAAGCCTACACAGAGGAAGTCGAGAGGCAAAGGTCAGGTTCGAACCACAGACGTTCCGTTCAGTAAATTCGCGCTCTTACCACTTGGGTCATCTCGCCCCACTGTGCAGCAGTTTGATTAACTTGGTCGATACCAGTCATTCACTGGGAGACCTTTTGTGTCACAAGCATAATACACATAGATGAACTTTGGTTCCCGCCTGTTTTCAAATCGGGCTTTATGGAGACTTCCCAAATATGGGGAACAGTAACCACAAGAGTTTCAGCAGGCGCACACCGCGCACAGATTTTCAATTCGTTCCGTGTCTTTTTCGATTTCCTCCTTTTCCGTTTCGACAGTAAGTCTCTTTACTCTCCATTCTCTCCCAGGTCGTTCTTGATAACACAGCGCTCCATCGGATCGCAGCTGAACGTTTGCATATCGAAACACCCTCGCTTGCTCAAATCAACCAACTTGTGAGTTGTCTTCTATTGAGCTTTGTTCGAGCATGCATCGCATGTTTTTCTGTCGTGTTAAGCTCTCCATTTCAATATCAAAACGATGTTGGTACACTTACCTGTGGGTGTTTTCTGTCTCAGTAAAAATAGATTGAGCTGTTTTACTTAGCACCAGTGCAATCTGTAATTCTGTGATGTTCATGATGTTACACTTGTCTGCGCAAAGCGTACAGGCATGATTCTGTATCCTTCAGGATTGGGTAGTATGTCTCTGTCTGTTCACTAGCGTGACTTCCGAATGTTACTTTCTGCTGCTTTTGCAAAATAATTGACGGTTGGTTGGTTTCCAGTATGGGGATAAACAATTCACGTGTGTATACATTCAGGAATCTCAGAATGTGGTATCCGTTAGGTTGCTCGGAATGAATTTCTGTTGACTACCATAAGCCCCTGCCTAGTCGTATCTGGTGAAGTGAGTATATCCTCACTGTA